AAACTACTTCCGTAGTGATACTGCCTCAGAAACCCAAGGAGGAGTCGCTATGGGTCAGGTCTGACTCGACGGCACATAACAACAATAACAACAAAATATATATATGTATGTGTATGTGTGTATGTATATATATATATATATTGTTGTTATTGTTGTATTGTTATTGTTATATATATATATATAGGAGTTCTGGTGGCATAGTGCCTAAGGCATTTAACTGCTAACCAGAAAACTGGTGGTTCAAACCCATCAGCCACTTCTTGGAAGGAAGACTGGGCAATCTACTTCCATAGAGATACCACCTTGGAAACCCAAGGAGGAGTCGCTATGAGTTAGAGCCAACTTGACAGCAGAGAGTTTGCTTTTGGGTTTTTTTTGGTTTTTTTTTTTATGCCAATACCACAGAATCTTTTGATTACTGTAACTTTGTAGGTAAGTTTTGAAGTTGGGAAGTGTGAGCCCTCTGAATTTATTCTTTTTCAATATTATTGTGGGTTTTTTGCATTTTCATGTGAATTTTAGGATCTACTGTAAATTCTGCAAAAAAAGAGTTGGAATTTTGATACGGATTGCATTGAATCTGTAGATCAATTTGAGGGGTGTTGCCATTTTAACAATTTTAAATATTCCATGAACATGGGATATTTTTCCATTTATTTAGGTTGTCTTTCATTTGTTTCAGCAGTGTTTTATAATTTTCAGTATACAAGTCTTAACACCTCTTTGGTTAAGTTTATTCCTAAGTAATTTATCCTTTTTGATGTTTTAAGTGGAATTTTTTAAAAATTTCATTTTCTGATTGTTCTTTGCTAGTGTATAGAAATAACAACTGATTTTTGTATGCTGCCCAAGGTGTTTAATAATTTGAACGCCTTAGGCCAGGCACATTCTCTCCCATTTGATATAGAATTACCACTCCCTATTTTGACATATTTATCTGCCTGGACTCTTAAGAACTTTGCTGAATTATTTATTTATTTATTTAATGCATTTTATTGAAATATAATTTATGTACAGTGAAATACACAAAACTAAAGTGACATGGGTCAATGCAATTTTTTTTTTCAGTGTTCTCTCCTCTCCCATCCCTGGCAATCAACAAAGTTTCCCTCCATATATAAACCTT